CTCAGCACAGGTGGCTTCACTAGATGTTTAGTCTTGAGAAAAGAAGACTAAGGGGGGGGACCAGATAATAGTCTTAAAATATACATTAAGAATGGTTATAAAGAGGATAGTGGTCACTTGTTCTCCATATTGTCCACTCAAGGTAGGATAAAAAATAAATGGCTTAATCTGCAGCAAGGGAAATTGGTTACATAGTATGAAAAAGCTTTCTAACTATAACATAAATAACTATGGCAGTAGCTCAACAGCAGAAGTCTTGCCAATATTGGCAAGAAATACCTCTGTAAAACCGTTTTTGAAGACCTCAGCTTAGGAACAGAGAGAGGAAGAAAACTAAGTAGAGCCAGCAATATTTTTAAATTGGTTGGGAGAGTCAACATTTAGAAAGAGATTACACAAGAAATATGCCCTTCCACCTGCATCTCTGTGTAGAAAGTCCTACCACTCTTGTTTTTCACACCACCACATACATGTTGTTTTCATTATATTCAAAATGGGCCACCTTTTACATGGGGATCTCAAAGCACCTTATAAGCACTGATTAAATCTCACAACCTCCCATTATCCCCATTTTATAGATGAGGAAACATAGGCACACAAAAAGTTAACTCACTTGGCTAAAGTCAATCTGACAGGTCCAGTGGCTGAAAGGAAACATCACAGGAGACCCAGGATAAGCAAAGAAAGCATTTCTGTGCTTTCAGGTTCATTTTTACAGCATCTGTGTACACCAAGAACAACACAACCCCTAGCCCATATCCATCATAATCTCTGAGCCCATTCCTTCCATACGGCTTTCATTGTGGACACCAAATAACGTAAGCAAGGGAGTACCTTTCTTTAGCAATCCCTGACCTGACTCCAAGAAACCAACAATCCTGCTTCTGAACAGATAGATTAGCCCAGTCCCCTTAGAAAGGCTCTGATTCTAACTATGTTCAACTGTGCTCTGCTCAGGGACGCCCTCTCAGCTGGGACTGGAAACTCCTGTGGGTTTTAACTCCAGACCTCTCACACCAGTGTCCAGCTTGGTTGAGCATCCTTCTTCTGGAAGTGAAATGCAGCCTAGCCTAGTGAGGTTGCAATCTCAGTTAGGGTTTCTAGGAGCTCCTGTAAAACAAATACTACTAATAAATGAATCTGTGGTTTAGGGCCTGATCCTGCAAGCCCTTCATGTGCTGAGATCTCCCTGAAGTCAAGGTGGAATCTGTGGACTTGCAGGCCTGAGTTTGTAAATTTCAGACATTGAAAAATTACTTTTGAGCAGCTTGATTTTTTTTTTAAATCAAGTCATTTAAAAAAGTTACATGCATCCCATTTACATTAAGATACATAAGGTTTTCAAGCATGGAAATATAATTGTAGAGTTAACTAACTTTCCATGTGCTGGCTTTGAAATCTTGCATCTTAACATAGGGAAGGAGCATATGGTGATATTTTATTTTCTGTTTATAAAAGCTCCCATTGCACCTAGATTTCATGAGGGGTAAAGGAATAAAGGCTTCTCATCATAACTAACAGGTGATTTGTTTTGCATTGGTTAGTGCTTAATGGTCACTGCAAGGTTATAAAAACTGTCTGAAAGCAATCAGAATTTTAAAAAATGTACAGTCGTTTTACACATTATAGCCCTTTGGTTTTTTTATGTCTCATGTCTCTTAAAGAGGAATTGACAATACAAAACTTTTTGTCCTTAACAGGCTGATTCTGGGAGCAGGCAAATACCATACTGAGCACTGGCAGGGTTATTATACAATTGCTAGTGATGCAGTTTTGAAACATACAAACTGCTCATTATAAATCTGAAATGCTCTTTGTACATCCTAGCATCTTCCTCCTACGTATCTCAAAGTGCTTTACTAACATTTAACTAATTTAACATCAAAATATTTTTAATGAGGTATGTAAACCTGTCTCTTTGACAGATAGGGGCTCTAAAACTTAGCCTTTGTCTACACAAGAAATTTGTACCAATTGTTTGGACACTCTTATTTCAGTTTCAGAATGACTTATACTGAATTAGCATAAGACTGTGAGGAATTGACTTCAGCAAAATTGATATATGGCATTCTTACACTAAAATAAGAGTGCCCACGAAAGCAGATAGTGAACCTGATTTTGTTAAATCAGCCCGACTGTCTTGTTTAGATGAGTCCTTACAGATGTTAAAAAGTTTTCACTAGTTTTGAGAGACTCGCTTTTTACGTGTCCAGTTTGAGGACAACATAGGGCGTGATGTTTCTGAGATGCTAAGTATCCACAACTCTCTTTGCCTTCAGTGGGAACAGTGGTTTCTTGGCCTCTCTGCAAATCAAGACCTAGATGTCTCAAATTGGGCACCCACAACCTGAGGCGTACCAAAATAGTGGATGGACAATGGGCTTAAATGCTTTGCCCAGACCAGTCTAGATAAGGAACGAATATGGTCCCCATCACTGTAGTATCTGAGCCTCACACTCTTTAATGTATTTATCCTCACACCACCTCTGTGAGGCAGGGCAGTGCCATATCCCCATTTTATAGATGGGATACTGAGGCACGGAGAGACAAAATGACTTGCCCATGGTCACACAAGGTATTTGTGGCAGAGCAGAAACTGGACCTGGGTGTTCCACAGCCCAGGCTAGCCTGCCAACCATTGGGACATCCTTCCTGTCAGATCACACAACAAGGCGGCATCAGAATTGGGATCAGGTCCAAGAGTTCCCAGTGCCAGCCCACTAGACCACCCTCCATCCTCTACTGTTCTGCTGCTCAGTGTGCCAGGTTGACACGGATGTGTTGTTCATTTACTAGACCAGGATGTGATGGAATCTTTGCGATAAATCAGTGTGATTTTGCTTCTCAAGCAGAGATGGGCCTGAGACACATAGTTTAGACCCTGATTTCAAACAGCTCAGATTTCTGGGGTATTTGGTTTGGTCCCATTATAAAAATAGGAACCAGATGTGGAATTAAGATACAGGTTCAAGTTCCGATTTCAGAATAACTCCTCTGCAGTTAATGGAGTGACGGTGGTCTAAAACTAGTGTAAGGGAGAGAATCATGTCTATAATATGCCATGTAGCACTCAGGCTTAGACTATCACTTAAAACTTCAATTGTAAAGAGAGCAAAGGACAGTGCTTTGCAACTAAGCCACCGAACCCCTCTAGCTGAGCATATTCATTAAGTCTTCATTAGAAAGCTCTGTAATTTCTATGGTGTCAAGTATCAGGGGGTAGCCATGTTCGTCTGTATCCACAAAAACAACAAGGAGTCCGGTGGCACCTTAAAGACTAACAGATTTACTTGAGCATAAGCTTTCGTGGGTTAAAACCCCACTTCTTCAGATGCATGGAGTGAAAGTTACAGATGCAGACATAAATATACTGACACATGAAGAGAAGGGAGGTAACTCCCTTATATAGTATATTTATGTCTGCATCTGCAACTTTCACTCCATGCATCTGAAGAAGTGGGGTTTTAACCCACGAAAGCTTATGCTCAAGTAAATCTGTTAGTCTTTAAGGTGCCACCGGACTCCTTGTTGTTTTTGTAATTTCTGTGTTGGCATTGCACTACCTTCTTTGACTAACATCAAACAGGCCTTCAATCACTGCTAATGCATCAAATGTCTGTAACATAGGGGAGAAAATGATCTTGGGCTTTGGATTTTTAAATGGAAATATTCTTGGTAGTTTTCAGTGTTTTTCTGTGTTATTTATTCTAGCACCAAGTATTGCCCAAACAAATAATCAGAGGGATGGTGTTTTCCTCCTGATGGTAAGAGTTTTAGTTTAGTCTAATGACACTGAACACTGGAAGCCTGAAAAGTCTTAGTTGTGCTGTGTGTGGAAGGCTCATTGAGCTAAAATTGGTTTTCACTCTATTATCTATTGGAGCAGGAAAGACTGTCGTGGGAGCCTTTATTTAAACTTGGATGAATGCTTCCTTTTCTGCACACAATCAAGGCAAACCCAGCCTCACCTTTTAACAAATTGTACAGTTTCTGGTGCTGCAAACACTGCTTGTCAAATACATTGTGCAGTTCTCCCCCCTCCTCCCCCCTTCATCCCATGACGTCCTAATTCTTTTCAGCCTCTTATAAAAAGCAGTAGGTGTTCTCCAACATGAATAGAAATATCGACACAAGTCCCCCTCTGACAGCATGCATGAATACAGAATGGTACTTTCCCTCTTGTGGTCAAGGCCAAATTAGGGTTTTATGGGGCCCTAGGCAATGCAGAGGCAAGTATTCAGGGTGGGATGAAATCCCTGAGTTTATTCTGATTTTCTTTATTATCCCTTTTACGTTCCAGTTTCCTCCTTTTAAAAATAATTCTCTTTCACTGGAATGTTTATTTTGTCAGGAGATGGAAGCTACATCTTCCTGTATAATTTATAAAACTTATTAATACTTCAATTTATAGAATAATCACACCTACACACCCTCTACTTCACAAAGGCATTCCAGTTAGAGTTGGCACACAATGGCTTTTTCAGTTCACTGGCACTTTCAGAAAATAAAATCTCTTTGGGGTCAGACTGCAAATGAAAATGTTCTTGCAGAAAGTCAAAACAATTGTTTTGGGTCAAACAAAATGTTTTGTTTCAGTTTTGACCATTTTAAAATGTTGATTTAAAAAGAATAATAAAGGAAACATTGAATGGAAAATTAATTTCAAACCAAAGAATTGAAACTTTTCATTTAGAAAAATGATGAAACAAAACATTTGATTTTTCAAATTTAATTTTTTCCAAATGGACAATTCAGCAAAGCTGAGACAAATTCACAAAATGTTTTGGTGTTACTGAATCTGCATTTGCCACCAAAACATTTTTTGGCTGAAAAATGTCATCCAGCTCTACTTCCAATCTATACAATAGTTCTCTAAAGATACGAACACCCAGGCTTTGGACAGTTTGACCCATGGCAGGGAAGTGATTGCTCCCTGGTCTGTGACATGGTTTTGTTTGTGCTGGGTGTGTGTACTGGCAATGAGCAAAGCTCAGACAGTCTTTAGTTGATCTTGTGCTTTATTTAGGGTTCAGTAAAATGAATGCTGATTGAGCTGTTTGTGAAGTGCAGTACGCATTCACAGAGCTACATACACCATAAAATGCAATTTTAAAAGCCACTTAAAAATATGCTCCCCCAGAAGATTCTCATTTGCACAAAACTAAGATCTACATAGGGGATCCATGCTTCCAAGCTCTGCTCCAGAAGTGGCTGCCTGGCAGCTGGCTTCCCTATTCCTTTCTCTGAGAACATGGTGAGGAAATCTTCACCATAGAACCACTCTCCAACATAGAAATGTCTGGTCCTTGAGCTGCTGACCTGTGTGCTTCCATAGCAGTAGTCGAAACCCCTGTTCTCCCTTCTGAGACCCTCCCACCCTATGGCACACCCTGACTGCCCCAGGTGCATCTCCCCCCTAGCGTGTTCCCCCATACCTGAGACAAGGGGGTGGCCTGATCTTTGCACTTTGCCGGAAGATCCAGCACCTTACAGGTTGTAAGACTGATGCCAGCTTGTTACATTGCTTGGCTGTGAATGAGCTACACAACTCAACAATTTACAATCAAATCATAGAGAAATTCACTGACTATATCCATATTTTGAAGAAATCAGCTGGACTCACAGTTTGATTGTGAGTATCCTTTAGGCAGAAGAGGAACTACATTTACCCAATAACTTATTAATTGTGCATTATTCACTTGGCTCTAGTCTAAGCAGCTTGTGCCAGGAGCACAATAAGAAAGTTTCTGTACAAGTTAGATCAATCATCTCCTTTTTAGAAGCTGCTTCTCTCTAATTACTCTGAATGATCAGCAACAGCACACGAGAGGGGCTGGGCCAGTACTTTGCTCTCTATCCCTTAATAACCTTAATTCAGAAATCAAGGATGACTCTTCACAGGCTTCACTCTCAACTAGAGTTGGCTTCAAGTATTTCCTCCGCTGGATTTAGTCTGTAATCTCACTCCTCTGTGTGAATGAGACAGTACCGGACAAGCCACATATTAAGCTAATAGAGTTAGAGATTCCAACAGATTACACTGGGCCTGATTCTGATCTCACAGCAATTTTACACTGGTGTAACTCTGCCAACTTTAATGAGTTACACCATGTAAAAGAGGAGAAGAGAATCAGGAACAATGACTTTCCTAAAGTGGGCTGTTATTGTGTTACCATCAAAAGCACTAGGCAGAATGTTTTAGACCTACGAGCTTCACAGCTTACCTTTCCCCAGGAGACTGGTTTCTGCCTTCTGTGTCACGACATTGCTTTACCAGCATGTCAGGATGTAGAACAAGGGACTGGATACTCAACTTGCACGCTCATGCTGAGACTGAGGGGGAGCAAGGGTGACCCTAAACCACCTTCACAACAGCCTTGATCCCAGGGATTTCCAAAGGTTGAATCATCCCCAAGCACCCCCAGGTTAGTACAATCATAGCTTTGTGGCTGATGGAGCAGCGCAAAAAGGGATGTAAGAGGAGGCCAAGGAGTTGGCCCAAGATCAGGAGAGAAGCAGCTCTTTACTAAAGGAAAAGCATTTTAATACCACGCTTGAGCTCTGGTTTCATTCCGCTCTGCTCTTCACAGTTACTTATCACAGTAATGCTGAGCCCGTCAGTGGCAAAGGTCACGCATGTGAGAGCAGAGTGGAGTGGAGTCGAGCCCCCTCAGCAACTGGAACTCCCACTATGGAGGAACTGATAGTGACCACAGACTTCAGTGCCTTCAGACAGAATTCAGTGCAATGCTTTAAGCCTGGTCTTCCCACAACAGCCGCAACCACCGCCAAGAAAACGAAGAGAGAAGCCCTCTCCCAACCACACACATTAAAAAGCCCACAAAATTTCAGCAACCTCCTGGGTGAGGTTGAAGAACTCTAGTCTCTTTGTTGAGCTCTTTCTTGCTTTAATTCAATGTCCGAGGTCCTCAGACACTACAGTGATAAGCACCAGGTAGGAAGATAGATAGATAATTCCTGCCTCTTCTGTAGTGCTTTTCACCCATAAATCTCAAAGCACTTTACAACGAAGGTTAGTATCGTTATTCCCATTTCTTACAGATGGGGAAACTGAGGCACAGGGAAGTAAAGTGGCTTATTCAAGGTCACCTAGTAGGCCAGTGAAAGAATTCTGAACAGAACTCAGGTGTCCCAGTCCAGTCCTCTATCCACTAGGCCAAACTTCCCAGATAGATGGATAGATTTGTGGAACACCCGTGGTTTGATGTCAGTTTGCATCTTCCATCACAGAGCTGGCAGAAAGTTTTCCCATTCTGAGACAAACTGGAGATTTAAGTGAACATAAGCTTGATTTATGAAGGGAATATATTTTCAATTATAGCTCCGTTCAGGATCATTTATTTTTCTTCAGAACGTTCTCTTCCTTGGTGATATTGGACGATTTTTATTCTAAGTTATAAATCTGACTTGGCTCAAAATAAAAAGTGGACACTCCATCTTTCAGCCGTGGTCATGTGGAATCAAACCACATGTCAGAGGGAAGTCAGTCAAGAGGAACAAGAGTTTTGCACTTTGATCAAACGTGTCCACCATTCTTACTGCAAGTACAAGTATTAATCACTGCCAAGTTCAAACTCCTCATCTTCGAGGCCCAGCACAGCTCTGCCCTTGCCAAGTACATTTGTGCTCTTGTTTAATCTAAACCTCACCCCCTCCCATCCTCGCTCCCTTGCCTCTTCTTTTGTCTCCCCCGCCTACTCTGGCTTCACATTTTCTTTTGTGTCTCTCTTTGTGCTTGGAACTCCCTCCCACTTTCCAGGCACCAAGAGTGGTCCCTCCCACCTCTAAACCCATTCCACTTGCAAAGCCTCCTACGCTGGTCTCCTATGCTAACAATATCTCCTCTGCCTGTACTCTCATCCTGTTCATTCTACTAATCTGAAGGCCAGATTCTGATATCAGTACTTATGGTGAATGCCACCTTACCCCACTGAAATCAATGGAATTACTTAAGGGCAACAGTACTCCTCAGTGTAAGTAAGGGTAACAGAATCTGGCTCTGAGTAAGGGAGAGCGGATGAGTACCCATAGATTCCATTACTGTAAATCCCAGTGAAGTGACCAGGAGCTCTGGGTACTCAGCATCTCTCAGGATCAGGCCCCTTCAACTATCAGGACAGAATAGTCAAAAGCATCTAAGCGACTTAGGAGAAAATTATGACTTTTCATAAGTACCTTTGGCACTTAGAAGCCTCTCAGGGAAATTTTCAAAAGCACAAATGGTTGCTAGGTACCTAACTCTCACTGAAAGCCAATGAAACTTAGGTTACCAAGTGCCTAAGTCTTTTTGGAAAATGGGATTGAGGTTCCTAATCCCTTCAGTGCTTTTGAAAATTTTACCCTAAATCCTTTGGGACAAGGACCCTAGGCTCAGCCTGTGTTTTTAAATCACTTTGCCAATGTAATTGCACCATAAATGGACAAGTAGCAATATACAGGAAGCCTAAGCAGTAAAGAAAGACTTTCCTTAGCTTATATCTGAAATGCAACACAGTGGATATTAACAATTCAGTTAGGTTCTATACAATATATTTTATTTCATGCTGTGACTGAAGAAGAGAATCAAAAGTGTTTTAAATACTTTATCCAAGACAAATAAAGAAAAACCCTCCGCCTTGCTCTGCTCCCCATACTTCAATCCTGCCGTCTTCACATGTAGAGATCACTGCCATTTTCCTATCCCCATTAAACTTGAACTGTCACACAACTGGCATGACACAGAAAAGGTACTCCCATGTAAAAACATGAGGTTAGCTCTGCTGTGAGAAAAGAAATGCCAAGAGTGTGGGGAAAATCAGAGCCTCGTCATCTGCAGACCTTTGAAAAGGGAAAATATCCTACTGTGCTTTAGGATTTGGTGGTGGCACCTTCACTGAAGATATGTACACGTGACAAATTGTTTCAAGATGAGATGGGGAACAAAGGATCCTTGGATTGTTTGGCAGAGTTTAGTAATAACAAATATATCAAACCAAATTGGTAATGGCCAATCCTCCCCTCTCCCAGTTTTAGCTGGAGTTGATTGTAGAATCAAACAGAAATGATACACTCTGCTGCATTCGAGAAATATCTTCAGCGCGTTGGAAAGCACTTCAACAAGAAATGGACCGATACAGGTTGTTCAGTTACTCTGTACTGTCTGAGCATAATTCCGGGCCACAGTTTACCTCTTGGGAGCACATTTTTGTTCTTACATTGTATAAGCAACCCAGTAGATAACATTGACTGCTGCAAAGGCTGCTGGGAACACTGCCCTGGCATAAATATCAATGGTGTCCGCATCAATAGGCTTGAAGAGGGACTTTAAGCCACTCTTTTTCTCCAGTTTAGTTTCTTGCTGCTTCTTCGTCTCTCCAGTTTCGACTTCTACAGAGCCATATGATCCAGGTAGGGTTTTGGGAGCTCGGTGCTGCCGGTTGGAAATGGCCAGTTCCTGGTTCACGCCAGCAATGGAAAGGGAAAACAAAACAATGGCGTTCTTCACATTGATCTGCAAATGAAAGAGAAGAACCTCTTATGACAATCTGCATGGGAAGAGAGTCAGAATACTTAATCAGAGCTAGCCAGGTGGCCTAATGGTCTGCCTTGCCCGAGATCCAAATGTGATGGACAGTACTTTGTTCCAATGCTTGCAGTGGCTGAGGAAGCTGTGAATGGCTCTGTTCTGCCATGCAGGAGACTCAGGAGTAAATTCTGTTGATAATTTTACATGCCCTAGGCTATTGCAGGGGCTTGAGGCACTGCAGAGGCAGCATGCTCAGCCCTGGGCTGGTTCACAAGTAGTATTGATCCACTCCAAAGAGACTGTCACCCAGCTGAAAGAATAACTGATTGGCCTGAAACATAGGGTGGGTCCTGTAAGGCTGTGGATGTTCTTGGGTAGGTTTTAGTAAAGAGCGCAGATCAATCATATCCGCTAGCAGCTTAGCAAGATTAATTAATAACAATAAAAATAATAAATACTAATAATCATAATAAAAATCAAGTCCAGGGATTCACATGCCTGCAGATTTGTGGGGGGAAATTTGCAAACTGTGGATTGTCAAAAGCATTTTTCCCTAATCAATTCATTCTGTTTCATCAGCCACATAAAGGACATGAAGGGAACAACTGAGCTATCTAGAATTAAGAGGTCCAGGAAGGAATTTCACATAAGCAATGGCTTTGTTCTTGCAACCTGTTGTATAGGTCTGCTTTGGAACATAAATTGTATTCATGCTGAGCAAAATAGGATCTATCTGGAATCCATTGCACACAATGGAGAATTTAATCTCCATGGGACAACACTGAAGACAATGGGCCTGGTTCTCAGGGTTGCTGAAGCCCTTTTATGGTTCTCTTGCCAGGCAAAGGGCCCATAAGTAAACAGCTACCTGAGAATACCCTCGGGGTGTGGGGCCTCCCTGGCTGGTGTAGAACTGGCATAAGGGCTCTACACTGGCCCTGCTCCTGGCCTGTGATGGGGGGCATATTGGGGACTATTTGAACAGAGCACACTGAGGTTGCTCGAATCTACACCAAGGGGTGAACATGTCTCCAAAGGTCCTGTACATCTCCAGAATACAAGGAACACAAATGTGGCTTAAAAGCCCCTTTGTATCCCTTCCCTCCCATTCCCCCATCCTGTCCCAAACACAGGAACAGAATGAGAATCAGTCCCAACGGCTTGTGGCATGGAGATGATTGGTTACCGGCTCTGTATCCTGGTAATTGTTCTGAGCTGGTTTTGACTTGTACTGCCAACAGGCAGCAATCAGCATGGTGGCATTCAGGGGCTAAACACTCACGTGGTGGGGCTATTAACTCAGGGAATGACTATACCAAAGGGCAGCGGAGGGGAATATTTGCTCTGGCTGAAGACAAGGTTATAATGCAGGGTGGTTGTTTTTCAAAGCCTTCCACGGCACCACCAGCACACAGCTTACCTCTCCACTCTGTCTGCTCGCCTTCATCTTGTCTTTTTGCTTTTTCATGTAGTCTGCATTGAAATGTGCAAATGCATATTCCACCAGAGCGGCAAAGACAAACACATAGCAAATCCAGAAGTAAACATCTAGCGCCTTGATGGCAGAGGCTCGTGGGAGTGAAGAGCGGGCACTGACCATCAAAGTGGTCATAGTAAGAACTGTCGTTATACCTAGGGAATAGCATGAGAAGCTTGGCTTAGAGTTCTGTAACACATTCCAATGGTAACAAACCATAACTTCTACCCAGAGAGGAGCTGGCTGAGATTTTCAAAGCTATCTAGGGGATGTGGGCACCCACTTCTGAACTGGGCACCCAATGCCCAAGGCAACTCTGAAAATCTCAATGTGGCTTCTTTTACCAGACACAGATAGACAGATCCATTAGAACAACCCCTGCAGAGTACTTTCTATTCTTAGCACCTGCATCTGCTCCTCTTACTCATGACTTCAGTGGGAGTAAGGGCTGCAGCACTGACTCTTTATTAGTAGTGTCTGTTGTTCTTAGGGATACAATATAACAGCATCAAACCTTTATTTTCCATCCTTTATTAGCGCATTCTGCCCTGACAGAAGCATCCGCCAGTGACAGACACCAAAGCATGAATAAAACTCGCTGAAGGACTTATTGCTTTGCCAGTGCAGACACAGCATTCATAAATGTACTTCTGTTCCAATAATGGCACTCTGGAGATGAACATATGGCCTTCACATGTCCTCCATTTCAAGATCCCAATGCCACAATCTTTTTACCTAGTGACACCCTAGCAGGCACAGCTGACTGGCTGATCCAGAAGGAAACCCATGACATGGCCACCAGTAAGATGGAAGGCATGTAAGACTGAATGATGTAAACACCTCGATTCCGCCGCAGGTGGAAGTGGAGACTGAGCCTGGGAAACTGACCCGCTGGTGGAAAGAGTGGGCAAAGGACAAATATAAAGTTGTGTGTTAGAAGGTTGGCTTTACAATCACGCAGTTAATAAAATAATATACAAGAGTAATGATATGGATTTGCACTTTTACATCATCTTTCATTCAAAGGTCACAAAGGGCTTTGCATTAATTAAGCCTCATAAAACCCCTATAAGGCACCATAGTTAGTGTCAGCATTGTTAGTCCTAAGAATAGGTCAAGTGACTTGCCTGGGTTGTATAGTGAGTCAGTAGCAGATCAAAACATAGATTTCAGGAGTCCTGATTCCAAATCCCTTGCTCTAATGATGACACTGTTTCAAAATGTGATCTGCCTTAAGATTTTTATAATCTGTTGTGGAAAGTCCTCCAGATACTAAATTTAGATTTTTTTAAAAAATCATGTTAATTTAAAACAAACAGGGAAAGAGCTTGATGGATAAGGGGGCAGTATAAATGAGCATTTAACTACAGTACATGTAAGAGGACAAAAATCAGTAGGGAAGAAATGACTTCAAGCTTTTACAAACATTGCAATAGGCATGCTAGTATGTATGTGTGCCACTACCCTCTAGTCTAGTGGATGGAATCAGAACTGCTCAACTGGATATCATAAGCACAATATTATTAGGAATAATGGAGATTCTCCTATAGCCAAAATTGCAAATTAGAGCAGGAGGATCTGAGTTCTAGCTCTGCCGTTGCTGTGAAGTGCTGACTGGCAGCCATGTGTAGCATTATGGCAAACACAAAGCCCAGGACAGGTATGGATTTGTCACAATAGACTGCAATGGCTACCCAAGGAACCAGCAAAAATATTCTCTCTCTTTAGATACGGGCTAAATAAAATTGTACTGGAAACCAGATGGACACATTAAACTGGTTACTTAAGAGAGGGGATTGTCTGTTACAGATAGTGGAGGCTGACAGCATGCCTGCAATGAAGACACAGAGTCTGTTACCAGATTTGAAGTTCATCATTTCTCTCGTGAAGCGGTAATTAGTGATTGTGAACTGAGCAAGCTGCAGCTTATCCAGCCCATGGATCTCCTCCTGGTTTTCTGACCATTGGTACACAATATCCTCTGAAGAGTAGCCATCTGCCAAAAGAAGCTGAATAAATGCAAAGGTTTGGGGGGAAATAAAGATTGATGGGCTCAAAGTGAAACTCAGACGACTCTGCCATGCTGCTCGTCTTCAATCCCACAACAAACATGTTGCGTTTCAATCTGGATAACTCAATGTCCTGTCAACAGTGAGGTTGCCAGTGACCTAGCCGGAACAGTGTTCCCTCCAGGCTAGCTTACACTGTTCAGAGCTTTAGAAGAACTTTGAAGTGGAGAACACAACTTAAAAATAAGCTTTTAAATAAACCTAAGAGCAACAGAAAATGGTCATAGTGGTTTTATTTACATTCCAATTGAAACAGTTGGAAAATAAACTAATAAAAGAATATTTCCTTTGCACTGTTTGCAATCCAATCAGTAGCATTATGCTAAAGCATGAGAACCTGACCACATATTAAAGCTGAATGGAGTACTGTAGTATGTTTTCATTATCCAAACTGACAGAACTGCAAAACAGCAATCAAGCAGCAGGATTAGTGAAAAGTAAATTAGACTGTTAATTATTTGAATCATCTAAGGTGTTCACTCATAGCACAGATAAAAACAGTGTGTGTTTTTACATCTATATGGGTAGATTTGGTGCCGCTTCCAATATTTTTGTGCCAGTCAAGCAAAGCGGATGGAGCAAAGACTTGTCACAACCCCAACACTGGGGATTATCCCAATGTCATGGGCAGGCATACAGTCAGTGAATCTGGCCCCTGGGTCACCCTTTCTGAAGACTCTGGTGCAGGGGACATATTAGAGGTAAAGACAAGCAAGCAGGGAGAGTGACGCACTGCAGCTATCCCCAGCTGTCAGGTGATCCATGGAGGCTACTCTAACTTGTACCTTTGGGGCCAAGGTGAGGCAGGGAATCAGAGAGTTACACTCAGCCACCTGGCATCCCATCACCCCCCTGCTGTGCCCAGCAGAAGTTAGGCACAGCAGAGAATCTGTTCCCTAATGTGTAATCTGCTGTCAGCATCCTCTTACTAGTGAGAAATGGCTGTCTAGATAGAAATAGAGCAAAGTATCTTGTAACTGCACTAAAAATGGACCACACCAATGCTGCAGGAAGATAGGAATACACAGTCACCTTGGTTTGGGTTAGCAGTTGCCTAGAGGAAACCCTGCATGTGGAAACAACAGGGGGAAAGTTTCCTCGGGTTTTGCTTTAATATGTTTGTTTAAAGAGGCTTTATTTCTACTTATGTTTATTGCACTGAAATAAAAATCCTCAAATTAAATTAAAAAAAAAAAACCCTGCCAAACTTGCCAGGAGAGTGAATTGATTGCTAGTTCATTGTCTGCTGCCTCTGCATTTGCTGATTACATAAGTAAAACTGCAGATTGCTATTTTTGACAGGATGAAATGTATTGTGGTTAATTGCCTAGAAAACAGAGTCAATGCTATAAAAGAAAGAGAGCGACTGATGCTCTCCCCAGTGTGGTTGCCCTGGCTTAGGTACTCCGCTAGTCCTAAATCTGTGGAAACATCAGGATTCTACTTTCCCACTGATGTAGCCACAAATGGCCAAATTCGCTGGTGTCATTGAGTGGTGCTTGCTTAAGTCAATAGTGAATTTATCCCCAAAGCATTAATGCTCATGGGAATTACACACTGATTAGGAGGAGAATGGCACCTGAGTAGAATATAGACACAATTTGTACAGGTTTCCCACGTAAGCACTAAATAGAATGTCACTAGTCTATGGCCCAGATTGTGACTGACTCCTGTGTAGGGGTGAGGTGTTGCCAAGGAAAGACAGAGACCTTTATGGGGGCTAGTGACAATAGCAGTCCCCACACACACGGAATTCTGCCCCTCTTGATTTCTCTTAGAGAAAATAAAACCCACTCCGAAGTTTGCCCTGGGGCTCAGTCCCTCTGTACTCTCTGCTTTGTCTCTCAGGGCCTGATCCAAAGCCCACTGAAGTTAATGGAAAGACTCCCACAGTTTTCAGTGGGCTTTGGATCAGCCCTAAGCTCCCAATTCTCCATCTCCAATGGGAATGGAGGGTGCTCAGCACCTTGCTGGATTTGGTTCTATAGTTCTGGTCTGCAGCTAGGGTTGCCAACTTTCTACTTGCATAAAATGAATACCCTTGCCCCGCCCCTCCCCCTCCTCTCCTCCAAGGCCCCACCCACCTTTCACTCCATCTCCCCTCCCTCTGTCGCTTGCTTTTCCCACCCTCACTCACTCATTTTCACCAGGCTGGCTCAGAGGGTTGGGGTGCGGGACAGAGTATGGACTCCAGCTGGGGGTGTGGGGTCTGGGGTGTGGCCAGAAATGAGGAGTTCAAGGTGCAGGAGGGATCTCCAGGCTGAAGCAGTGGGTTGGGATGTGGGAAGGGGCGAGGGCTTGGACTGGGGATGTGGGCTCTGGGGTGGGGCTGGGGATGAGGGGTTTGGAGTGCAGGAGGATGCTCCGGGCTGGGACAGAGGAGTTTGGAGGGTGGGAGGGAAATCAGGGCTGGGGCAAGGGATTGGGGTATGGGGGGGTGAGGTCTCTGGCTGAGGGTGCAGGTGGGTGCTCCAGGCTGTGATTGAGGGGTTCAGAGGGCGGGAGGGGGATCAGGGCTGGGGCAGAGGGTTGGGGCATGGGAGGGTGTCAGGGGTGCAGCGTCCAGCGGTGCTTACCTCAAGCAGCTCCTGGAAGCAGCAGCACGTCCCCACTCCAGCTCCTATGCAGAGGTGTGGCCAGGTGGTTCTGCATGCTGCCCCATCCTCAGGCGCTGCCCCCACAGCTCCTATTGGCTTGCGGCGGGGGCAGCATGCCGAGCCCCCTCACTGCCCCTATGCATAGGAGATGGAGGAGATGCATAGAAGATGGCTCCGCTGCTTCCAGGAGCTGCGCGGAGCCACGGCAGGCAGCTGCACCACCAACCGGATTTTTAGCTGACCAGAGCCACCAGGGTCCCTTTTCAACCAGGTGTTCCAGTCAAAAGCCAGACCCTAACTATGGCAGTTTTGAACTAGTGCTGTAGGGCTCTATAACCTGATGTCCAAACTTGGAATCAAGGGAATTGGGGTTGGGCCTTATATTTACTAAATCGAAAACAGCCCTTGTATTTGATTGATTTAAGTTGACCCACAGAAACAAAGCTAAGGATTATCTATGTAGGCTTTCAACAGAACATAGGTTATAGGCACTGCTGTGCTCAGACTTTCGTACTCACAGCTCTCCAAATCTAGCATGCACTCTTGTTCATCCATGGGATACTTGGTAAGGTCCATGTCACAGGCCACGGTTGAGGTAATCCTGCCCCATGCAAGGAAAATCAAAGTACCAGTTAGTTATATTCAGAGCGGGCTGTAGGCTTGCATAGCTTGGCATGTAATTATTCCCATAATCCAAAGACTGGGTAGGAAACCCTTAACCTACCTCTATTATTAAAATGCCACTCACCCACATCAACAGGTGGGGAAGTTGATGGGGCTGGCAGTGAAAGGGGGAGAGTCCCAGCAGCAAGGGAGGGAAACACTCACCAAGGGACAATAGGTAGCTCCTTCTCCCAGGGGTCTCTGGCACCCATTGGCCAGCTGATTGGCCAGCATTTGCCAGATCCCAGGATTTAACCTGCTGCAGGGGCCGTGTGGAGCCTCTTTTGGCTCCATTCCAGCAGCCCACCCTCCCCCCCTGAGTTAGGAATGGGAACCTGGCTTGACAGACACTGCAGGTCTAGCAAATTGGCTCCTTAGGAATTTTTTCTCCCATGTGCTAGTTGGTGGAGAACCAGAGAGGGAGTTTCACTGCAAGCCACAGTGGTTTGAGTTGGAATACGCATGGCACCTGAGGTAATGGGGTGAAGTTGTTTGTCGCAACTTACAGCTGGTTTCCAGTGTGGTTAAGAGAATAAAATGAACGGTTCCCAGAGGCAAATGACCTGGAATTTTGGTGATGGGCCTTGGGCTCATGTAATAGGGTTAGACCATGTGACCTTCACAGGCCAAGGTCCCCACACTGCTGCACCCTCTGTCCTGCTTACAGCAGGATGTAGGGTGCTAAGACTCAGAGAAAGCCGAGTCCTAGAGGGCAGGCTGAGGAGAGCCTACCCCATGTTATGAGTTACATGGTAAGGAACCCTGTTTCCCAACACTGGAACAAATTAAATGCCTGGTACAGGAGAGTGTGGGTGATGGGCAGATAGTGCCTCTTCCCTGTGTTAAAGTTTAATAAAAGTTGTGGCCTGCTGCTTACTTCCATGCATGTTTCTGTCCTTATTTTGCAGCCATACCCACATTAAAAACCAGTAATACTTTCAAAGCCCTTTAAGCTATTATCCTAACCAGTCCTCACAGCACCCCCCTGAGGTAGAGGAAACAGGTATTGAATGGTTAAATGACTTGCTCAAGACCAGATACTGCTAAATAAATAAATAAGCACTAGAGTTTTGTGAGCTAAATCCATTCCGGTGTAATGTCAATGAAGTTACTCCAGGGATGAATTTGACCCTACAGCTCCAAAGCATTGTGCACACATTAACTTTTTCTCAGAATACCCCTCTGAGGAGGGGAAATGTTACTATTGCCATTGCACAGATGGGGAAGTTTAAAGCGGAGAGATTCTAGATCACTCCACCAAGGTCACACAGGGAATCAGTGGCAGAGTCAACAACAGAACCCAGGAACTCCTTGCTCTGTTCACGCTGCCTCTTGGGCTGGTTTTGGGGTAGAACAACCCCAATTATAGCAAGATCATGCTCTGTTAATGATGTACTTGTGATTAACAATTACATGATGGGAAACTTGTTACTGTTTCCACAGGTGCCTTTCCCGTGTAGACCCAGCAGAGAGATGAGGGGTCTTCTACAGAAATCCATCATGCTCACGTTTTTAAAAAATGTTTTAAATGAATGGTTGTTTTCCAAAATAATCCAGGGAAAGGGGGTGATTATTTTTTAGAGTCTATTCAAAAAGCTAACACATGAAAGAAATCTCTCTCTCTCTCTTTACCTGATGCTATATAAAATGACTCCATCAGGCTGTAGCCTGATAAGTTTGTTTTCCACAGTCACATCATGGAACCAGGCAGACTTGGCATTTACTATGAATGTATCTGGTAACCAGAGCTTGTCCACAAACCGACTGTCCAAGCCCAGAGTTTCGTTGGTGTGGTTGTAAGACAGCCGGTCGTCTCTCCAGCTCTGATGCAAAAATACTGTCATGGTGTATTCCTAGCACAAGAAGAACCAACAGTTAACAAACCATGTGAAACAAACACAATGATGATATCTTGGGGCCTGGTCAAATTTCATTGTATTAGTCTGGAACATCTAATAGCTGCTTCCTGTGCGCTGGAATATTTTTGTACTCAGAATAAAACTGCCTGGACATTTTAATGTCTCTTGTCTGTTTCTACCAATGGATAACCACAAGATACCCAAGCATGTGTTTAACTGCTCTGATTCTATGGCCTTGTCAGATATACTGTGTAGTAAGAGCTGCATGTCCGTCTGAGACTGATGGGAAGAATCAGGTTAATATCCCTCCTAAGCATCTTTCCTAAGTAGGACCAGTGGTTTTTTTGTAGGGTTTTTGTATGTTTTTTTTCAGTCCAGTTAAAAAAATAAAAGCCCCAGGTGAATGCAATAGAGAGAGGGGGTCAATGATAAGTCACAGCTATAGCTTTAAGAATAAATCTTTCAGGATTAATAGGCTACAAAAATGCAGTTGATCTTTGCAGTTCTTAGATATGTAGTAAAGTGACATGTTCTAGAATCTAGCCTGTTGGTTTGTTCAGGATATGGGCATGGCTGAGATGGTTAAGGGAACATCCCACAGCTCAGTGGCTTTGCAGAGGGGCAAAAAAGAGGCTGAACTCCGCAGGCCTCTTTCCAGAAGTGTACAGGAGGAAGTGGAATTGGAGTAGAAATTGGATTTAATTCTTAAAAATAGTTTCCCTAACAATAAGGGCAACATACTTCAGACCCCAACCCTGCCCTCCCTACTAAGCCAGTTTAAATGGGACATACATAGCCAGATCCCTAGCTGGTACAAATCTGTGTAGCTCCAGTGAAGATATGCAATGCCAACATACAGCCACTGAGGATCTGGCCTATGGGCTAGCATGCAGCTGTAAGTCTGCTCTTTACAGGATTTTCCTGAATCAATTTTTCACTTGAAAAATGTAGGACTTTTTTTTCTGTCTTTGCCAATTCATTTCAGCTAGTGATAGTTCCATGTAGAATAATCATATATGCCTAATCAGTTTTCTATACTTCCCACCACTACAGTATAAGCATTCCCAGCTTTCCAGTCTTAACAAGTTTCAATGGCAACTTACCATGTTAACTTCTGAGATGTGATCAATGCTAGTAACTTCAATCGCTAGGGCAACATTAACAGGAGGGCCTGAGAAAGAGACACGTTAAATTGGGGAGGATATGGTGTGAATATATATGCACTAGCTTTGTCAATCTTTTCATATGGAGTCAGTTCACAGAAGTGAGTCCCTAAATATCTTTTCCCCTACTCACAGTTTCCAGAAATAAAATCTGTCTTAGAACAATGGGTTTCCAACCTCTTATTGTGATGCCAAGTTTCCATAGAAACCCTCCCATCTAGCCATAAAGAAAGGGAGGCTGGTCATGATCTCTGACAGTTGGTGGCAACCCCTTGAAATCATGACACTTACTTTGAGGATCCAAGTACAGAAGTGATCACCACTTGATATGGACCACAAAATTACTTTCCAAAAGTCAGTTCCGATACCATGGTGACAGGAGTGGTGTAAGAACTCAGGAAAAAATAGGAACTGCTTGTATTGCTTAAAGCCTTCAGCTTTAAGGATCAGTGGAAGTAATTGCTTTGACATTTTCAAAGATAAGAAAACTTCACCCCTTTAGAAAGTAGCTGCTTCAGGTGAAAAATAACATTATGGCTTACGAGAGTGCCAATTAAAACTGATTACAAGCTGACTGACTTGCCAGGGTCCAGATTCCTAGTAGAATTTCCTCTGCCCTGGCAAGATGGAAGTTTTGCTTCTATTCATGTGCATGCTTTGCTACGTTCATTGTTCTGTGGATTGGGATAGAGTGATCATTTTCAAAGAACACTAGAAAAGGGGATTGCCAAATGCTATCTAAACACCCTGTGTATGTTGTATTGTTGCTTCAACTCTATGAAGATCCAGGTCCACATACATACGCAGGCCACATGGGCATCAGCTGAACTGCACACATGCTAAAAAGGGAAAACAAAATGCCCCTTGAGCTACAGGACAGTTTATAATAGTTGCCAGTAGTTTAAAGTCTTATAGTTTCTTTGCAGGCCAGCCACAACCTTGTCAAATTGGCCAAGATTTTCAGGATTGACTCGTGATCTTGGAGGTCTCCATTTTGAGGGGCCCAACCTGAAACACCTTAAAGGGGCCTTATTTTCACACACTGCTGAGCCCCCACCTCCTGAAAATCAGGCCTCTTTAAGACATCCCAAGTTGTGCATCCAAAATCACTAGTTGCTTTTGAAAATCTGGGCAACTGATTTTACTTCCTTATAAAGCATTTCAGTAACACTGGGCCCGAAAGCACAGAGTTATTTTCCTTTTATGTAGTGGATTGTTGAAGGTCGATGTCTGCAGACTCACTGGATTGTCCTAAATTCAGAGCACTGCTATGTTTTATATTGTAACCAGGGAGCCTGACATCTTGATATCTTTTTTGCCCCAACTCATGGACCCATTTGCTCTTTCACATGAGAAAAAAGGAGCGTGTTTAGGGCCTGATCCAGCACTCATTGAAGACAATGAAAAGACTCCCATTGACGAATGGAGAGGAATTAGGTCCTTTGACTTCAACTTGAAAGGACCTGAATAATATCCACTGAAATTTGCAATGATCTGGGACTAGGTGTGGCTCCAAACTTTGTGGGTTAGGCCTCTCTCATTTTTAATAACATGCATGAAACTGGACAGAATCACTGTGCAAGGACTCAGGAGAACATTTTTGCCTTTAGCCTTCAATGCATTCACATCCATTGAGTTTTGCTTTAAGCTTCCAGTTCAGACAAATGCAAAATCTCAAAGCAAAACTCAGGGGAAACCATCAAGTTTCCCTTGCTTTTGCTTTGGACCCAAGTGGAACGGCACAGTGTTCATGGTTTTGACACAATCCTGTAGACTGGCCCAGGTGTACCTGAAAGGTTTGGAAATCTCTTGATGAACCTGCTCTGAGTTTTGTTTTTATACCAAAGCCTCAAAACAAGAGGGTTGTTCATAGTGTGGGGGAGGAGCGTGATCACTGAGAAACTCTGGCACAGCAAACTCAAATATGAACTCAAAATTCAAAAGATAACTGGTTTGATGCAGCTTTTAATTGGGCTAGATTGTGGGACTTTTTGCAAAGGCTGACATAAAAAAAATAAATTCTTACTGTTATTATCACTATGTCTAAGAGCAAGACATTCACAAACACTTGATTATATCCACCAAAAGGGAGACATTCACATCCATTTCAGCCATTAGATTATACAAGGAATACATTAGAAATCAGAAGAGACATAAATCAGACTCTTACCTCCAATTCCAGGCCTGAAATTCCGTGCATATCCTTTCATTAAATCATCCAGATTAGGTAACCAGGATATTTCTATGTTGGAGCCTGTGTAATCTCCAATGTCATTCATGGCGCTGGATAAAAAACAAACAAAACCACAAGTGTCCAAGCAAGCTTTTAAAACCTCACCATGTGTAGAGAAAATAAAATGTGGCAGAAAAAGATAGAAGACTTACGTGTCCATTACTAGAGCTCTGATAAAATGTCAGCTACTCAGCATGATTGGTAACTGATTGGAGCAGTTCTGAGAGTTGATAGGACTGTTTCATTTATTTGTGGGGGAGGGACAAATGATGTTTAGACTAGAAAATAGTATAGACAAGGCTACAGCCTACCTAGGGACATGAGGTCAAGAACAAACATCTTTTAGTTTATTTTTTCTCCTAAATACATAAAACCAAAGTTTAAAATGACTTGATTTATTTTCCTTGTTGTGAAAAAAATAATTGAGAAAGTTAGTCACTGGAACCAAACTAGGATCTTGTTTTTAATTCATCTTTCTTTTTTCCTCCAATATGAAAAAGAAATGGGATACAATTCTGTTATTAACAAATCATGTGGAACCTGCTTATGGAGAGATGTGGCGATAGAGAGATTTGGTTTATGAAGAAAGACCATAAATCCTGAATTGCTTCACTGCATCTTGATATACAAGGTGTAATTCCATTTGTAGTGAAGATGTTGTGTGACAAACATGACTTTGCCATAAGCCGGCTTCACTGTGTATTCAACTGACAGCATAATAAAGCAACATGCTCGTTTAGCAGGAATCTTTAAGTGCTCAAACGAAACCAAATATACTATAATTATCAAATAAATAACAGAGATTATGTAAGAGCACAGGAGTACCAACATACTCAAAGGCCTTAGCTTATTGATGGCCTAGGCACCATCTATCCACCACTGCTGAGCACCATCTAGCTCTTTTTCCTGGGTCAGGAAATCGGCACCTTTGGGTTAACAACACAATGTGTTGCACAATTTTAAAAGTGTTAAACTGTGTCTATCCTAGGTGCTTCAAGTCACGTTTGCTAACTCCAGTTACCTAATCCAATTTTTAAAAGGTCTTTGTTTCCCAAAGCCAACCTGACCCCAGTACTAACAAACCTCAGGCTAGAAAGTATCAATCAAAATTCAAAAATTTTACAATCATTAAAAAAGCAGCTGGCCACAACCACCGATCTATCCATCTCTCATATAATGCCCATCACTTTGTTCTCTGCAGTCCCCCTCTCACAGATTCTGTAGGGCTTTCTGCTTCATACACCAAACCGCTGCTTAAGTGAGCTCAGGAACTACTTCTGGCCCGCTTCTTGTGGCCAAGGTACTATACACCAAAGAACAACTTGCAGAGATCATAGAGAAGCCCTGTGAGTTGAATGAACCTGAGACATATCAGTCATAACATGTGACACCATCAGGGGGCCAATTTTGCCTTCATGAATTTTTACTCTTCGGGGGGGGGCAAGGAATCTATTCCCTACTGGTGAGATGACAAGAGTTAAACTTCACCTGCAGACACTGGTGACTTAATTTCAGGCCTCTCCCTCACAGATCCAGGTCCACCTGGATGTGAAAGAGAATGGAGTTTCTGAGTGGCTCAGTGCAAGATGTAACAGGCAGGATAAAAGATTAGGAGTCCCAAAAAGAGCAAAGGACGTGGAACATTCCAAAGGCCCTCTTCCCCTTAACTGTGCCCAGAGAGGTGGTGATAATAGGAGAGTCATTCTGTGTCAAGGAAAGAAAATAAGCGAGCATATGGTAAGGGCTCACTTGCTAAGCCTCATGGAAGGGAAGAGGTGGAGGAGGCCCAGAAAACTACAAAGTACTTCATCTAGTGCACATAGGAATTGCTTCATCTGCCACTGAAATGAAACTACCTCGATAGTTGAGCACAGCAACTAACACCTCAAAGCAACACTACACAACAGTTTAAGTCAGGTGGTGAAGAACTTATCCAGTTGTAACATCAGGGGAGTTTAGGGAAGAAGAATGTAATTCAGCTGGAATAGAGCCAGGAGACTAGTTTTATCATCCCTGCTCTTGTGAAAAGCACAATAGGCCCATGCAAACACAAAAAGAAATGAAAACTCATGTGACCTGAAATGGCCATCGTTTGCAAAGCTCTGATCAAAAGGGTAAACAAATTGAGAAAAGCAAAGAGGCAGCAAAAAGCAAAGTCCTGAAAGGACTATTCCAAAAACACTCTTTGAATGAAAGTTTCAGATTTCTCCAGATAAACAGAATCAGCATTTGATCTCTAGAACTCCATTTTCTGTGCCAGTCGCTGGGAGTTCCCAGGTCATCTTAAAGTTAATAGGAGTTGCCTGTAAAACTACACACGCACTCAGCTGACAGCATAATCCTTCGAGCTTCTCCTACTGCTATCAGAAAATTAGTATGAAAACCTGCCTGTTGAAATGGGAAGTGTTTGTTGGACTATCAACTAGAAAAGAGATCCTATCTACTAGGGTGTGTGGGTAACTCTCAAGTCTCCCAAAAACACAGGTAACCGGATGCAAGCACCACATCAGAGCTGTCGGAGCATTGGTGCAGCTGCTTCCACTCAGCTCTGCAATAAGCATGGAGCTTAAAAAAAATATCGCTGATAGCAGAAGAGAAACCTTTTAAAATATTGATGAAAGGCTGCAGATTAATATACCATAAACAGCTCTTGCCTTGGGACTTATATAACTTTCTTAGAACGTTTGTGTGACACGGACCCACATAGGCACAAGGGTTTTTTTCTCCAAGATGTGTCACTTATGGGTGTATTCAGATCAGTATTTACACTTACTGCAAGAAACAGCCACCAGAACAATGTTTCCTCTCACTATGGGATGAATGATGACGTTCTTGCCGCATGTGAATGGAGTTAATAACGTAAGGAAGCTTTGGGATAACAGCGTGTGACTGTAAGCTCTGAGTAACGGAGACATTGCCGTCCTGAGTTAATAGCGCTGTCAAGGCGTAAAGTGACCTTGAAGACGCATGGGGACAGTTATTGCCCAACAGTGAAATTTCATTAGCTCATCATTTCATTACCTCATAAGGTTAGGGATGCTTGTTTAAATGCATTTATAATATTCTCTTGACACACAGACTCACCTAGATAGCTAGCTACAGCACCTATCCAAGTATCTCAGAGGACTCGCTGGCCCAGATCCTCAGCTGGGGTAAATTGCCATAGCCTGACTTCAACGGAGGCTATGATGATTTATTCTAACTATATTTTTTCTATTTGCTGGGTCTTGTCATCTGCGCAGCCAACTCACTTATCTCTATCTAGTATCTTTGATATTTCTTAGGTGCCTATCGCCTTGGTGTTGAAGTGCCAATATTTACTTAAGTGAAGTTACCCTTTCACTCTGTTACTTACCTGCCAAGACCCAAATTCAAGGTTCTGCATTTCTCCTGCTGCAGCTGAGAACGAACATTGCAGCTCAGTGATATTTTTATTTATTTTCTTTTGCATTCCCTGACCTGCTTTGAGTATCACTGATGCTATCAGTTAGTACACGGGACATATGACAGCCAGAAGTACGTTCTTGGCAGATTAGCCAAGAAAGGAATAGTTTTCAGATATTTTGTTTCTAAACGTTTCATTTTTGGTGGGGTTTTTTGGTAATTTGTAAGTCTTAGCCTGAGACATAGACATGAGATCCAGGTCATTAAAGATCGCATGCACTTTTTTAGGGATAGATTTGTCATCCTGTCTTGTGTTTTTAAACAAATGACAGTGTTAGCTTTAGAGGTGGCTGCACTCTGGTGCAGGGTGAAGAGATTCCTGCATGCATCCCTTGCTTATCTCATGTGCTTGTCTTTGGGGCCTGACCTATAAGGAAGTCAGAATCTGCCCTTCAGGTTTTTGGGTGTACAATGCTTTGCGATCATTAGCTGCAAGATGTTATAAAAATCCGAAGTCCTGTGTCTACTCTTGCGTAATGAATCTGAAACATTTAAGAAAACAAATTTTGCAGCTCCATTTTCACACCAAAATGTGTTACGTGGCTGCCTAGAGAACTTAGCCCCAGATGACTGACTCATCATCAGTCATTTGCTATTACAGAAATAAAGTCATTGTAAAAGAACTGTCAGGAGCATCATCTCTTTTGACAAATAAAATCACCTCATTTTCCCTTGACATTTATTTTCCATAAAAGCCTCAGCATTTACAGCATGCCACAGAGTGGGAGGGCATTATCCTGTGTCAATGTTCTATGGTAGTGGCGTTAACAAGAATAAGAGAGCTAAAGGACAATCTCAGGTTAAAAATGATGGGCCACATATGCCATGCATTTTAGGCAGATTGCAATCCATGGGGAATTTTACTTAAAAATCCTCAGCACAATATACTACAAAATTAAAAAGGAATCTTGGTCCTATTATTAATAAAGCCTGAGGTTACGAAAACTGTCTATTCATATTAGATTTTTCTATGAAAAACCTTAATTTTGGTCCTAATCTACATGGTGCTAATTTCTATAATCATACTGTCCAAACGACACTAGATTTTTCATTCGGAGGGTGTGGAAGATAAAGAATCGAGGAAAAGAATATAGGAGTTAGGAATAATGCAGCAGAGTCTTTGTGCTTGAGTGAATAGGGCTGTAGGCCAAGAGCTAAATTCAGCCATGGTGTAAGTAGGCACAATTTCCACTCCTGTCAACAGGGATTATACTCATTCACTCCAGGGCTAAATTTGGCCCCAAATCTTCTAGTCCTCAGAAGTCCCCATAATAGCTATTCCCCACCAACATCCAAGTAGGGTATTGTACATAGACTCATAGAAATGTAGGACTAGGAGGATAAATCATCCAGTCCAGACCGCTGCACTGGACTTATAACTTTTGTTTGTTTTAACCTAATCTAATGAAAAATACTAGGGACTCTTTACTATTTGACTGGATGGAAAACATAGTGAAATTCACATCTGGAGTGACATTCATGCAAGTTCAGAGAACCCACATAAACCCTCCACACCACATTACAGCCTGCCACGAGAGTGGGGAGGGAAAGGGGGTGATAGAGATGGCCTGCCAGCAGTGTGGTGTGTGGGATACCTAAATAGCCC